TTCCCTCCCTCCCCCCGAGCGTCCTTGCCGCATTTTCATTTTTGCCTTCATTTTTCACATTGCATCTCTAATTTATTTGCCATCTTGCGCACTTGTGCCCTTCAGGATTTTAAGTATATATACACATATAAGTGCAAGTACCCATGTACCTGTATGTACATTGCTTCATTTTTTGCATTTTTGCAATTTTGTTTTGCTGTGTATTTGTGCTATATCTTTGGTTTCTAATTAGATACAAGTTGTGAACTAAATTCTTTTGAAAGCGTATACAAACTTTGCAAAGCAATGGACGGAGGCCGAAATGTCATTGAAGAAATACATATCTAAAGACCTAAATAGCAAAAAGTGTCGAGTGTGATCTAACTAAAAGTAGGGAACTCTCATATGAGCATATCGTCAGCTGAAATGCAAAGAGACGTAACAACATCGCAAATGAAATGGAAAAAGTCGTGACTAATATTTTAATTTTTTTTTTCATAAAATCCACCATATAAATCAAAAAGTGAATTTCGAATTTTTTATTAGTTATGACTTTCAGTATTTCAACGATGATGTTTGTTACGTCTTCTTGCATTTCAGGTGACGGTATGTATGTATGTATGTATGTACAAATATGTTGGCGTTGAAAATTAAGAATTTTAGATATAAAAAACTTTAAAAACTTTCCAAAGCAAATATGAACAAATTTAAGTAAATAGTAAGAGTCGAAAGCCATTGAGTAGGTTGGTGGGAAAGTGTGAATATGTATTTGCTTTAGACTGCATCACTCCCCATAAAAAAAAACATCGGTACTGTTTTTCCATTGCAATTATAAAATCTATTATATTTTAAGATGTCCACCAAAATATTTCGGAAAAATATTAAGATTTAAGCGAACTGGACCGATTTGAAAATACCTCCAAAAATGGAGTTGTTTATGAATAACCCTAGTTTCTTAAAGATGTTTTTTGAAAAAAAACTCCCCTCAAACGACAAAAGGGTTTAAGCTTAAAAAATGTACATAAAAATATTTAAATAAAATAAAATAAAAGAAAAATTGAGCGGAATCGTTATAATGTTATTTTTGATGCTGTTTAACTATTTAACTTTTGTTCAAAGATTGGTATAAGAAAAACTTGAATACCTGAACCTAAACTCTTCCGATTTAGACTTGTGAGATATCATTGAATGTTACACCATGCGACAGTCAATGTTACACACGAAAAAATCAATATTTATGTACATATATTGTAACTATCAATATCTTATAAAGAGAAGTGTAAAATGCTTGTATCTAAAACTAATAAAGTTAAAATGACGAAATTCGAGGATGTGGTAGTTTACATATTAGTTCTTGACATATATTTTTTCAAAAATAAATATAGGAAATTTCCAAGGATATTCAAGGATAAAGTTTTAAAAGGACATTTTCAACACTATTCGTCCTGATGAAGCAAACAATTTTTTTTTTTTCAATTCTACAGAATTTTTTCTTTTTAATTAATACCCATATAGTTACTCTACAGTGCGCCAAATCTTTTAAATAATTTTTTTATTCAAGCATATCATAGAAATTTCAAAGTCCTTTAAAAAATTGCTGACGTCAGAGAGAAAAGTTGAAAGCGCATTTATACTATATTTAGCTCCTAGTTTCTTTAATATATTGACTTTTCCGTGTGTTTTAAAAATTTTTGGTTTTGTCGCACGGTGTTATCATTAACATTCCAAACTCATTACAAATAAAACACGAAATAAATTTTTGTTTTTTATTCAGATTACGTTGCATTCTCTTCGATGTTATATTGTTTACTTTGTCGACATCTTATCTGACAGCGCAGCCAACAAGCTATATTGCGTACAGTAATGCATACAAGTTTCTTACCCAAAACAGATCAATGTCAAAACAACGCTTAAAAATTGTGAACTTTAACTCTCAATTTAATATAATTACGCTGCATAGGTTATATCAAGACAACACATAGGTGATTAAGAGTATTTCCATAATATTTTTAATCACTTTGTGTCTAAGAATTTAAAATATGCCATCTAGGTGTTTTTGTTTCCACATTTTTTTTTTCACAAAAACTCCAGACATCACATCACATCACGTCTTACATACATATGTATATAGTATGTATGAGGGATAATTAATGAACTTTTTAATGATCTTGTCAAGTTATGTATTTATGCATATGTAAATATGTATGTTTGTATATGGACTGTCGGGTCGCAGTAACAATGTTGCAATTTAACAAAAATACGGGGTCAAAAGCTCGAAAGTAGACATACAAACATAACGATAATTTATTTTATTTCGTCGTTCAATAAAAATATACTTAGTGCTTAACTATAAACACTATGTATGTATTCAATATCCACTACCGTCAATTTTCTAAAAAAATAAGTCCGATATATTGTTAATTTTCATTGCCACGTGTCTATTGCTTATGTGCTTAATTTTGCGCGTTTTTTTTATTAATTTAAATCTGTTCAACCCTAAAATACATTTCGAAACATTTTTATTCATAAATATAAGTATTTTGTGTCAAAAATTAAATCTCAGTTCCCATTTGTTTTTTTTTTACCATTTAGCTGACGCTGACAGCAAACAAATCAAATACATACTTAAATGAAAAGTAGAAATATGTACGTATATACATAAGTGCATTAGACCGTGCCACCTTACAACAAAACAAAAAAAAATTCGCCGTACACTCCTGCGTATGAAGTATTTTTGCGGAACTTACAACACCTTTTTACATTTTTGTAAGGTCCATTCTATAATAAAAAATTTAATTAGAACACTCAAAACTTAGCAAAAGTTTAATTAGAAAGGTGATACGTTAGGGCGATAGGAACTGTGATATGGTAGGTTAGTACTAGAACGGGGTACTTGAGGTTAAAAAAAATGTCTCCTCGAGACAAGCATATCGATTTATCATACTTAAAAAGCCGACTTAAAATGCCAAAGATATGACGAAAAATTACATTCGGCAAAGAGAATAAAATTTTCAACAAAAACGCGAAATTGTCTGCTCAAGACAAAAATCTTGATATATCATACAATCCGACTGTAAATGCCGGAGTTATGGAAAAAAAATACAAAAAGACGACCAAAAAAAACGTTTAACTGCCTTGCATAAATACTTTAGTTTCGAACTTTTTTTCTGTTGCGGTCTAGTGTACATGTATATATATATAAGAACGTATGTATATATACTGATATATTTACACAGAGCAGACATTTTTCAAAGTATACCTATTGTCTAAAAATTTATCACTTTGGCGTTAATCTTATGTAGTTGTCGCCCAAAAGAAATCATCTTTATTCTCTTGAAATTAAATGTCAAAACACTTTGGTCTCCCTTTATGAACTTTCGTAAAC